CGAATCGCTTGCCTTCCAAAGCGGTGGCACGCGAGCGCGCGTGCCGCAGCTGGTCCTCGCCCTGCCAGCGCCTGGGGCCCCTCGGCGGCGAGCAGTGCGACGGCGCCCGCGAACGCGCTGCTCGTGGCCCGCAACTTCTGGCCGTCGACGTTGAACTGCTCTGCCTCAGCCCATGCCACGATCGGCGGTGCGACGTGGCCCAGCCATGGGTCAGTCGAGAGGCGCTTGCCGACGACGAAACTGAGGCTGAGGCTCTTCTCCGGTCCGCGGCTGCGGTGGGCGGCATTGACCTGCCCCCCCCCCCGCTTGGTCAGCCGCGGGATGGGCCAGCCAACGGCACTGGGGCCGCATCGAGACGCAGGGCGCAACCCAGCGTTGGTGCCCCGCACCGCGGCTGGCGTCTCCTGGAGCGGATCGCACGCAGAACGCGGCAGCTGCGACAGCGCCTTTTGATTAAGTGCTTCTCAGGACACGATGGCCTATGCCCGCCTAAGGCAGTAATCCACCCCCCAGGATTATTTACGGGCCTCGGCGGCGATGGGGGGCGCCACGCCGCCCATGTGCTTGGCGACCAATGCGGCGAGCCCAGGCGAGCTGGCGAGATGCTCGCTCTTGGCTTCTGAGACCTTGCAACTCAGGGCCTGGAGCTGGACCGCCGCCGCCTCGGTCGCCCGCGCCGCGCATGCTGCGACCGGCGCCAGGGGGCCGCGGCGGCCGGCGCGGCAATCATCGAGCGCGATGGCGAGCGCCACTCTGGGATCCAGCACCCGCCCTCCAGAGCTTCGCGCGCCCGCCCGACCCCGCGCTCCGAATGCCGCCCCGCGCGCGAGCAGCCAGCGACGATGCCCGCGTCGAGAAGGCATGCCTCCGACGCGCTGCCGCCCAGCGCGAAGCGACGCTCACCAGCGTAGAGGAAGGGCGCGGCCCATGCCCAGAAGGCTCCGTGGATTTTTGGCCAGGGCGCTTCGAACCTGCGCGATGGCCAAGTCCACCAGCTCGCATGCCTTCCACAAGTCGATTAGCGCTGCAGCTGCGCCGCCCCCTCCTAGAACGAGAAGCTTCTGACCGAAACGCCCGCCGCCGTGCTGCGCCCTCAGCGGCGCGCCCTCGGCCCCGCCAGAATGCGCCGGCAAGCCCTGGGTCGATGTCGGAGCCCCGCCGCCGCGCTTCGGGCCGGCGAACTCGGCCCCAGAGAAGCGGGGGCCAGCTGAGCAGCCGGACGGGCCGAAAGCCGCCCTGGGGTTTGGGCGGCAATGCCGCGAACGCGTCGATTAGCGCGCGTGGACAAGCGCCGCAGCTAGACCTCTGCGACTGGTCAAGTGCACGGTTATTTCGATGAATGGTCTCCACATTGGCGCCCCTGAATGTCCGCCGCCTTCCCGGGGCCCAGGCTGTTGCACGAGCCGACCCCCGCCCCGCGTCGGAACTTCTTGGGCTGCTTTCCGCGCACCGGCTTTTCGCGCCGACGGCCCAGGCCGGCCTCGGCGTCCGCTGGGGGCCTGAGCGGGCAGGGGGGGATCCATCCCGCGCTCGCTCGCAACGCCCGCTGAAAAGCAACCACTCCCTTGCTTTCTTGGCCATGCGCATGGGCCCCTTGCATTGGCCTCCGCCCCAGCCCTTGCACCGACTGCCCGCTCGCCCAGAAGCAGCAACTCTGGGCGCGAGGCCGCCAGCGCTCCCCGCGCGGCCCAGCGGGCTCCCAAAGGTTGCCCCACCAAGCGCGGGGGCCTGGGGCCTCGGCGCAGCTGCCCTCCCCGGCTGACGCCCTGACTGACACCGCCGCGGTCCGCGGCGCCGGCGCCGCCGCTGTCGCTGTCTGGCGGGGGCCCCCCGCGGTGGCGCACGAAGCGCTTCGCCGACCAAATGAAACCGCAATGCCCCCCGTCAGCGACCCCCCAGCGGTCGGGGTCGGTCGCCGCCAGCTCGCCCCGGAGCCGATGACGCGAGTCGCGCGTCGCCTCGGCGGCGCCCAGCCGCCCTCGCCGAGCCCTGCCGCCGTGGCCCAGCACGCCGCGGCTGTCTCGCCGAAGGGCCTCGGCTGCTGGGCAGCGCCGGCTGCTGCACCGCCGCTCGTGGGCGCCCCGGGCTCTCCGCCAGCTTCGCCGTCTGCTGGGCCGCCAGCAGCTGCGCCTGAGTCACCTGGGTCGCCCTGGGCGTCGGCGCCCACGCAGTCGCTCTCGCGCCTGCCGATGCGCGCGCGCATGGCAGGCGCCCCTTCGGCGCCGAGCGCGCGGGGGGGCTGGGCGTCGCAGAGAACCGATTGCTTCCAACCGTGCCATGCGCGCGGTTCCAATGGGCGGGGGCAGTCGGTGGCGGCGCCCCGCGACGACTGGGGCGCCCCTGGAAGCGGCCCGCAGTGGCCCGCGTGCCCCTCCAGCCACCTCTGGACCCGCGAAAATTCCCGATGGTCCGGTGGGTCTCCATCTCCCAGCTGACGCGGACGAAGAGTGACAGCTGGTTGGCGACGCGCGCCGCGTCCTGCATGCAGCCGGACCCGCGACGCCGCACTTCGGAGCGCGCATCGATCACGTTCTGCACGCGATCCTCGAAGTCCTACGCTTGGCCTGCGGCGGCATGGGTGGGCAGTCCCAGCGCGCGGTAGATGCGCGGGGCGCAGAGGTCCATCCACTCGCCCTTGCCCCCGCTGATGCTGAGGCAGGCTGAGGCTGAGGCTGAGGCTCCTGCAAGCTGATGCTGAGGCAGGCTGAGGCTGAGGCCGAGGCTGAAGGCAGACTGAGGCTGAGGCTGAAGCAGGCTGAGGCTGAGGCAGGCTGAGGCTGAGGCTGAGGCAGGCTGATGCTGAGGCAGGCTGAGGCTGAGGCTAAGGCTCCTGCAGGCTGAGGCTGAGACAGGCTGAGGCTGAGGCCGAGGCTGAAGGCAGATTGAGGCTGAGGCAGGCTGAGGCCGAGGCAGAGGCAGGCTGAGGCTGAGGCTGAGGCAGGCTGATGCTGAGGCAGGCTGAAGCTGAGGCTGAGGCTGATGCAGGCTGAGGCTGAGGCAGCCTGAGGCTAAGGCCGAGGCTGCAGGCAGACTGAGGCTGAGGCTGAAGCAGGCTGAGGCTGAGGCTGAGGCAGGCTGAGGCTGAGGCAGGCTGAAGCTGAGGCAGGCTGAGGCTGAGGCAGGCTGAAGGCTGAGGCAGGCTGAGGCTGAGGCTGAAGGCAGACTGAGGCTGAGGCTGAAGCAGGCTGAGGCTGAGGCTGAGGCAGGCTGAGGCTGAGGCAGGCTGAGGCTGAGGCTGAGTCAGGCTGAGGCTGAGGCTGAAGGCACACTGAGGCTGAGGTTGAAGCAGGCTGAGGCTGAGGCCTGCGGCTGGCCTTGAGGCTGAGGCTGATGCTGAGGCAATGAGCTGAAGACTGACGGACAGGCTGAGGCTGAGGCCGAGGCTGCAAGGCAGCCTGAGGCTGAGGCTGGAAGCATGCTAAGTCTGATGCTGAAGGCTGAGTCAGGCTGATGCTGAGGCAGCTGGGGCTGGGGCTGAGGCTGAGGCTGATGCAGGCTGAGGCTGAGGCAGGCTGAGGCTGAGGCCGAGGCTGAATGGCCCAAAGATCGCCACAAGATCGCCCACGAGGCCTCCAAGATGGCCCCATGACGGCCCCGAGGCCCCCAATACAGCCCCAAGAGGCCTTCAAGACGGCCAAGGTGCCTCCAAGACGGCTGAGATGGCCCCAAGATGCCTCCAAGACGCCCAAGATGCATCGAAGACGGCCTAAGACGGCCCAAGAGGCCCCCAAGAGGCGCCCAAGACGGCCCAAGACGTCTCCAAGAGGTCGTCCAGGAGGGCCCGAAGAAACCAAAATCATTGTTTTTTTTTCAGGGTTTTGACAGATTGCGGCAGTTGCTTCTTCTCGGCATTCCGACGGCTCAAGACGGCCCAGAGGCCCCAAGGCCCCCAAGATCGCCCACAGGCCTCCGAGATGGCCCCATGAAGGCTCAAAAAGCTCAGAAGACAGCCCCAAGAGGGCCCCAAGACGACCCAAGAGGCGTCCAAGGCGCCCAAGATGGCCTCGAAGACAGCCCTGAAATGCCCCAAGATGGCCCCAAGACGACCCAGACAGGCCCCCATGACGGCTTCCGACGGCGTCAGACAAGCCAGGAACGCCCTAAGACTGCCAAAGAGACCCCCAAGACCAAAGGCCCCCAGCAGGCCCAAGGAGGCCCCGAAGAGGCCTCCAAGAGGCCCCCAGCAAGCCCCCAGGAAGCCCCAGGATTGCCCCAGAAGGCGCCCAAGAGGCCTCCCCCTCCTCCTCCTCCTTTTTCCTGATCCTCTCCCTCCTCCACGTCTTGCCCCCCACGCGTTCCCCGAAGTCTTTCCAAACCGACTCGGGGAACAACTGACCCGATAGCTTGGCCGAGCTCTGGCCCAACTCTCGGCCACATAAGCGTTTTCCGCCGCCCCCTGTTGATTCATCAGAGGGATGCCTGGCGTGCTGAATCATTCCGCCTTTTTTTTTCCGCGACCGGCTCTTGAAACAATGATGCAGTCAATTCACTGGGCTGACAGCAGGCGGACGTCGCCTGCAAGCCAGCATTGCAGCCTGACACGCCTTGGCGCGAACGGCACACCGCTTTTCTTGTGGGGCGATCTAGGCACTGGTGCGTGGGAAAACGTGGCGCTCAAGCGCCAAAGGGTTGGTGCTGAATGTAGCCGCAACCTTACAAAAAGACTGCCGTCTGTGTCGGACCAGACTAGGCAGTTACTGATGCTATGAATAGAAAAAAACGTGGCTTCTCGAAGCCAAAGGTGAGCTGGCCTAGTGTCGCTCTGCAGAGTAGCCTGATGATACAGGCTGAGATATGGCATACACTGTGAGCTGCTCATGCTGTACTAGAGTATAGCGCAGTGCCTCGGGCGGCTATCGTTGTAGCCTTTGCTCCAACGTATTGCGAGGGATAGCTGCGCGGCGCGTCAGGGAGCGAGGAGGAGGGAGGGAGATTATAGGAAAGCCTCAACCTCCGCGTCGTGCTAAATACGGTGATCCGACTCGTGCTCATCGATCTCCGCGTCCTGCTCCGACACGTTGGCCTCAACCTCCGCGTTATGAATGCCGCGCTCGGGTGTTGGGCCCCTGCCACGGCCAGGACATCCGCGCCTCACCAGGCAGCCCAGCGCGACGCCGCAGACCAAGAGGATCAAGACACCAGCGAAGACTGCAATTAATCCCCATGGCTCGGTGGTGGCTGTGGTGTTTGATGTGTCCGAACTCGTGCCCGTATCGGTGGTCGTCGTGGCCGTCTTGGTGGTCGTCGCGGTGGTCGTCTCACTTGTTGTCTCGGTGGTTGTCTTGATGGTGGTAGTAGTGCTTGACGTCGCGGAACTCGTGGCCGTATCGGTGGTCGTCGTGGCCGTCTTGGTCGTCGTCGCGGTGGTCGTCTCACTTGTTGTCTCGGTGGTTGTCTTGATGGTGGTAGTAGTGCTTGACGTCGCGGAACTCGTGGCCGTCTCGGTGGTGACGATGGTGCCGTCGAACACGTACGCGGAGCCAGACTAAGTGCCCTGATCGTCGTCATAGTAGGCCCCCACCACCACGCGGGCCCCGTCGGAGCTCACGGCCACCGAATTACCAAATTGTTCGTATCCGGCCCCATCACTCGCCACAAGCTTGAGCAGCCTCTCGCCGGTGGCACCGTCGAGCACGTACGCGGAGCCGGAGCCGCCGTCGCCACCAGAGGCCCCCACCACCACGCGGGCCCCGTCGGAGCTCACGGCCACGGAGATTCCGAAATAGTCGCCTGCGGCCCCATCACTCGCCACAAGCTTGAGCAGCCTCTCGCCCGTGGTACCGTCGAGCACGTGCACGGAGCCAGAATTGCTGCCCTGGTCGTCGTCACCCCAGGCCCCCACCACCACGCGGGCCCCGTCGGAGCTCACGGCGACCGAGATTCCGAAAAAGTCGCCTGCGGCCCCATCACTCGCCACAAGCTTGAGCAGCCTCTCGCCGGTGGCCCCGTCGAGCACGTACGCGGAGCCAGAATTGGTGCCCTGGTCGTCGTCACTCGAGGCCCCCACCACCACGCGGGTCCCGTCGGAGCTCACGGCCACCGAGATTCCGAAAAAGTGGCCTGCGGCCCCATCACTCGCCACAAGCTTGAGCAGCCTCTCGCCCGTGGTACCGTTGAGCACGTACGCGGAGCCGGAACGGGCGCCCTGGTCGTCGTCACCGTAGGCCCCCACCACCACGCGGGCCCCGTCGGAGCTCACGGCGACCGAGAATCCGAAAAAGGCGTCTGCGACCCCGTCACTCGCCACAAGCTTGTGCAGCCTCTCGCCGGTGGCCCCGTCGAGCACGTACGCAGAGCCAGAATCGAAGCCCTGGTCGTCGTCATAGTAGGCCCCCACCACCACGCGGGCCCCGTCGGAGCTCACGGCCACCGAAGTACCGAATTTGTCGTATCCGGCCCCATCACTCGCCACAAGCTTGAGCAGCCTCTCGCCAGTGGCCCCGTCGAGCACGTACGCGGAGCCAGAATGGGTGTCCTGGTCGTCATAGTAGTTGGCCCCCACCACCACACGGGCCCCGTCGGAGCTAATGGCCACCGATTTACCGAACCAATGGTACTCGATCCCATCACTCCCCAAGAGCTTGAGCAACTGCTCGCCGCTTGTAGCCTGGCGCCTCCCGAACTCGGCCTGCGGCTCGCGAGGGCGACCGCTCGCCGAGCCCTCCAGCCCCGTCGGGCGGGCCAGCGTCCCGTTCGCCGGCGACCCGGCGCTCGGGGCGCCGCGCGCTACCAGCAGCAGGAGCAGCGCGCCGACGCTGTGAGACGTGCGAAAGCGCATCATGCCGTCTGCAGATGTGCAAAGCTCAGAGGAACGAGCGACGCCCGAGGGGAGCCCTGGGAGCCCGGCGACGGCCCCTCGGAACCTTGAGCCTCCAAAATTGCTTCGGACCTTCCGCTTTTGATTTGGGTTCTTTTTCCACAAGAACTCCCCCTGGCGCTTCGGCCCGTCCCGCTGGCCACCCGAAAGGGAGCTCCAGGAGCTCAATCCCAGAACAATCCCCCAAGACGGCTCCAGATGGCCTCCAAGATGGCCTCCAAGTCCGCCCAAGATGGTCAACAGATGGCCTCCAAGACGGCCCGAGAGAGTCCAAGATGCCTCCAGTTCGTCCAAATAAGGCCCCAAGACGACCCAAGAGGCCTCCAAGACGCCTAGGCTGCCTCGAAGACCGCCCTGACCCGGCCCATGAGGGCCTGAAGTCGGCTCCGAGAGGCCCCAAAGACGGTCTCGGACGGCGTCAGATGGGCAGGAACGCTCTAAGACGACCAAAGACTCCCTCAAAGAGTCCCCAGAGGTCCCCAAGAAGGCCAAGGAGGCCTCCCGAGAAGGATTCAAAAGGTCCACAGGAAGCGGCGCGCGCGAGAGAGAGAGTGGCGGCGGCGGCGACGGCGACGGCGACGACGACTGACGTCGACGACGACGACGAGGACCATCCTGCTCCTTTTCCTCCTTGTCCTCCTCGTCCTCCTCCTCCTCCTCCTCCTCCTCATCCTCATCCTGATCCTCATCCTCGTCCTCATCCTCATCCTCATCCTCATCCTCATCATCTCATCCTCATCTCATCTCATCACCATCACCATCACCATCACCATCACCATCATCCTCTCCTCCTCCTCCTCCTCCTCCTCCTCCTCCTCCTCCTCCTCCTCCTCATCATCATCATCATCATCATCATCATCATCATCATCATCATCATCATCATCATCATCATCATCATCATCATCATCATCATCATCATCATCATCATCATCATCATCATCATCATCATCATCATCATCATCATCATCATCATCATCACATCATCATGAGCATGAGCATGATCATCATCATCATCATCATCATCAGCATCATCATCACCATCATCATCATCATCATCATCATCAGCAGCATCCCCCGACTCCTCATCCTCATCCTCATCACCCTCTTCTTCCTCCTTCTCCTCCTCCTGCTCCTCCTCCTCCTCCTCCTGTTCCTCCTCCTCCTCCTCCTCCTTCTCCTCCTCCCCCTCCTCCTCCTCCTCCTCCTCATCCTCCTCCTCCGAGCCGACTTCTGGCCGTCTGGGGACCATCTTGAGCGTTTGGGAACGTCTGGGGCAGTCTTGGAATCTTCTTGGGCCCGTCTTGGGGGGCATTTTGGGAGTCGCAGCGGAGTGCGTCGAGACCTGGCCCATTATGTCCGCCAGCTGCTGCGAGCTCGGCGCCCCCCCCCTGCGCGGCCGCTCCCAGCCAGCGGAAGACCTTGTTGATGAGGCGGTCGTGGCGGTAGCTGCGGTCTCGCAGGGCGTCGTCTGCGGGGTCGAGCCGCGCCCCCGCCGCTGGCCCGAGCGCTGGCGCAATTCATGCCACGACGGCGCCGCGCAGCGGTGTGATCCGCTTGGGCGCCCGCCAGGCTCGTGCGCGCCTTCGCCTTGCGAGGAGTAAGGTCGCCGATGCCAGCGTTCTCCATGACGGGCCTGCGCCATCCAAGGCGCCGCGCCTTGCCCGCGGCAAGCATGTAGCCGTCGACGAGCATTTAGCCGTCGGCGACTGGCCACGACGGCCGCGTAGAGTTCCCCCGGCTCCTGGGGGAAGTGCCGCGGCGGGGGCCCAGATCAGCTGACGGTCTCAGCGTCGTGCCCCATGGCCGCGGCTGCCCATCGGCCTCGCGCGGAGACTACGCCCAAGCCCTCGACGCCGCCGTCGGCGAAGAGGTCGCCCGCCAATGGCATGCTGGCACGGCGCGCCCTGCCGCCCTTCCTGGCCGCGCGCTCTGCCGCGGGCGGCGGCGTCGCCCGTCGGCGCTCGGGCGCGAGCGCGCGGGGCCAGAGCGGGTCCTTGGTGGATCCAAGGCTCGCCACGTCGACTATCGCCCTGACGTGGACGTCATCGCGGGGCGCCCCTCGTCGCCGCCCTCGCAAGGCCCCCGCGCCGCGCGGCCCGCGGCTGTCACGGGGCGCGGCCGCGCCCGGCGCCGCGGCGCGCCGCGGGCTGCGCGGCCCCGCGGGCACTAGGGCGACGATGCGAGCGGCCGCTCCATCTCGAACCGAACCGACGCGCCATCGGCCATAGGCAGCCGACCAGAGCGTTTTGGCTGAGCAGAGTTCCTTCGCCGTCTTCTTGCTCGCGCGCTTGCGGCGAAGAGTTCGCCTGATGCTTGCCGGCGCCCATGCCCCCGCAAAGTGTTCGAGGCCCTGGTGATTGCCCGCCTCCTTCCAAAACGCCCCCATTCATGTTCTGCGGCGATGAGCTCCGACAGGGTGGACGCAGCGATCGCGCGCAGGTCCAGACCCCCCTGCTGGTCGTTAATGAGCAGACCAAGTCGAATCGCTTGCCTTCCAAAGCGGTGGCACGCGAGCGCGCGTGCCGCAGCTGGTCCTCGCCCTGCCAGCGCCTGGGGCCCCTCGGCGGCGAGCAGTGCGACGGCGCCCGCGAACGCGCTGCTCGTGGCCCGCAACTTCTGGCCGTCGACGTTGAACTGCACTGCCTCAGCCCATGCCACGATCGGCGGTGCGACGTGGCCCAGCCATGGGTCAGTCGAGAGGCGCTTGCCGACGACGAAACTGAGGCTGAGGCTCTTCTCCGATCCGCGGCTGCGGTGGGCGGCATTGACCTGCCCCCCCCCCCCGCTTGGTCAGCCGCGGTATGGGCCAGCCAACGGCACTGGGGCCGCATCGAGACGCAGGGCGCAACCCTGCGCTGGTGCCCCGCACCGCGGCTGGCGTCTCCTGGGAGCGGATCGCACGCAGACGCGGCAGCTGCGACAGCGCCTTTGAGTAGTGCTTCTCAAGGGACACGATGGCCTAGCCGCCAAGGCAGTAATCCACCCCCCAGATTATTTACGGGCTCGGCGATGGGGGGCGCCACGCCGCCCACGCGCTTGGCGACCAATGCGGCGAGCCCAGGCGAGCTGGCGAGATGCTCGCTCTTGGCCTCTGAGACCTTGCAACTCAGGGCCTGGAGCTGGACCGCCGCCGCCTCGGTCGCCCGCGCCGCGCATGCTGCGACCGGCGCCAGGGGGCCCCGGCGGCCGGCGCGGCAATCATCGAGCGCGATGGCGAGCGCCACTCTGGGATCCAGCACCCGCCCTCCAGAGCTTCGCGCGCCCGCCCGACCCCGCGCTCCGAATGCCGCCCCGCGCGCGAGCAGCCAGCGACGATGCCCGCGTCGAGAAGGCATGCCTCCGACGCGCTGCCGCCCAGCGCGAAGCGACGCTCACCAGCGTGGAGGAAGGGCGCGGCCCATGCCCAGAAGGCCCCGTGGATTTTTGGCCAGGGCGCTTCGAACCTGCGCGATGGCCAAGTCCACCAGCTCGCATGCCTTCCACAAGTCGATTAGCGCTGCAGCTGCGCCGCCCCCTCCTGGAACGAGAAGCTTCTGACCGAAACGCCCGCCGCCGTGCTGCGCCCTCAGCGGCGCGCCCTCGGCCCCGCCAGAATGCGCCGGCAAGCCCTGGGTCGATGTCGGAGCCCCGCCGCCGCGCTCCGGGCTGGCGAACTCGGCCCCATAGAAGCGGGGGCCAGCTGAGCAGCCAGACGGGCCGAAAGCCGCCCTGGGGTTTGGGCGGCAATGCCACGAACGCGTCGATGATCGCGTGTGGACAGCCGCCGAGACCCTCGCACTTCATGCCGGATTCGATGATGGTCTCCAACATGGCGCCCCTGAAGTCCGCCGCCTTCCCGGGGCCCAGGCTGTTGCCGCCGACCCCCGCCCCGCGGCGGAAATTCTGGGCTGCTTTCCGCGCCCGCTCCGCCGACGGCCCAGGCCGGCCTCGGCGTCCGCTGGGGGCCTGAGCGGGCAGGGGGGGATCCATCCCGCGCTCGCTCGCAACGCCCGCTGAAAAGCAACCACTCCCTTGCTTTCTTGGCCATGCGCATGGGCCCCTTGCATTGGCCTCCGCCCCAGCCCTTGCACCGACTGCCCGCTCGCCCAGAAGCAGCAACTCTGGGCGCGAGGCCGCCAGCGCTCCCCGCGCGGCCCAGCGGGCTCCCAAAGGTTGCCCCACCAAGCGCGGGGGCCTGGGGCCTCGGCGCAGCTGCCCTCCCCGGCTGACGCCCTGACTGACACCGCCGCGGTCCGCGGCGCCGGCGCCGCCGCTGTCGCTGTCTGGCGGGGGCCCCCCGCGGTGGCGCACGAAGCGCTTCGCCGACCAAATGAAACCGCAATGCCCCCCGTCAGCGACCCCCCAGCGGTCGGGGTCGATCGCCGCCAGCTCGCCCCGGAGCCGATGACGCGAGTCGCGCGTCGCCTCGGCGGCGCCCAGCCGCCCTCGCCGAGCCCTGCCGCCGTGGCCCAGCACGCCGCGGCTGTCTCGCCGAAGGGCCTCGGCTGCTGGGCAGCGCCGGCTGCTGCACCGCCGCTCGTGGGCGCCCCGGGCTCTCCGCCAGCTTCGCCGTCTGCTGGGCCGCCAGCAGCTGCGCCTGAGTCACCTGGGTCGCCCTGGGCGTCGGCGCCCACGCAGTCGCTCTCGCGCCTGCCGATGCGCGCGCGCGCATGGCAGGCGCCCCTTCGGCGCCGAGCGCGCGGGGGGGCTGGGCGTCGCAGAGAACCGATTGCTTCCAACCGTGCCATGCGCGCGGTTCCAATGGGCGGGGGCAGTCGGTGGCGGCGCCCCGCGACGACTGGGGCGCCCCTGGAAGCGGCCCGCAGTGGCCCGCGTGCCCCTCCAGCCACCTCTGGACCCGCGAAAATTCCCGATGGTCCGGTGGGTCTCCATCTCCCAGCTGACGCGGACGAAGAGTGACAGCTGGTTGGCGACGCGCGCCGCGTCCTGCATGCAGCCGGACCCGCGACGCCGCACTTCGGAGCGCGCATCGATCACGTTCTGCACGCGATCCTCGAAGTCCTACGCTTGGCCTGCGGCGGCATGGGTGGGCAGTCCCAGCGCGCGGTAGATGCGCGGGGCGCAGAGGTCCATCCACTCGCCCTTGCCCCC